ATTTAGTTTGCAATTCCTGATAAATTGGAATTCTAACACATTTCTTTAGGACAGCTTTAAATAATATTTAGGTGTATTTTATATTATCAATTCTATATATAGATCGTCGAAAGTATTCATTGTAATACAATATCAGCATACAATTGCAATATCAAATAACTGTTCTAAATATTATTTTAATTGTTGAATTCAATTAAATGATTATTTCATTATATTATCCATTCTAATGTTTAAGTTATGGCTAGTATGCCTACATTCAAATAATAAATTATATATTAAAGTCCATTAAAGTGAATAAAAACTGAATTAGAAATCTAGAAATTCATTTTTTAAACATGAATACTAATTTTCTCAAAAACGGCTCAAGGAATATTTTTGAAAATTTTTATTTGAGTTTTCCTTTATTGGTAAATTCGAAACCTGAACACCCTAAATTGATTAAGTATCTATTTCCAATCTACGAATCCATACAAAATACAAAAAGAACTAAGATTATTCCATAATAACCAGAATACGAGAAAATGTTTCTATTGATGAAAAAAATAAATATTTTGAAGTTAGTGAAATGAACTTATTTTACAGTATAGTGGGGAGAGGGGGAAATCATAAGTATAATTATGCTGTTGCATTTGTCTTTTGTGGTATTTTCCAAAAAATAAAAATAAATAAATAAAAGCACCAACAGTGTGGCAATTTATTCAATTCAAAACCCAAGAAAAAATATATACCAATTGATGTGACCTATTTCTATGATTTCAATACAAAAATCATAATGATGTTGAGAATAGAAGATTTTGGGAAAATAATTTAATTTTGAAGATATCGAAATACTTTTTTGTAAGATTTAATTAATAATGAGATTTTATTTTTTTTAATTTCCGGCATGAATTTAATGCAGCCCGACCTCAATGAGGCCTCAACAACACACTTATTTAGCGAACCCTTTAGCCACATCAACAATTTTACAGTGTGTGTATTCGGAGCAACTAAACTGGTAGTAAAAAAAAACGGAGCACCTTGAATTTTACATGACAACCGTAGATTAAGAAAATAGTTCATTTATAAATATTTATCTATATATCTAATCTTTACCCTTGAATATAAATCTTGTTTTCTAATTATTAAAAAGTTACTGGTATCGGAATGTTACCAAAGCATAGTTTCTAGAATCGTTTTTGTTTAACTAATTTTTCTCATACATTCTGTATCTTTTTTTTAATTTCTAATAAGTGTCGGACAGTTCCTGTCTCAGGACGAATTCCCTGGTTCCCCTGCTCTGAGGTCGGCCATTGAACTAGACGAAGCAAATAATAGAGTGGTAAGTGGGAATATAATATTATACGGCCTTCAAAACAATCGAAACCTCCTGAACACTACAGAATGAGCTTGACTGAAAAAAACATACAATGCCGCCGAATTCCAGATAGTGAGATACAGATAATTGATTTTATTAATTGGAAAATTTAACACGAAACGAAAAAAGAACATTAGTTTCATTTCTTCGAACCAATGAATGTTCGATATCGCAAGAATCTCAGAAACGAAGCGAAATACACATCAGTAAGTTACTTAGAACTTTCATAGAATACTCCAAAATATGGCGCATGCACTCCGTTTCAACCGCCCCTACAATGGGAGAGACATAAAGTGAATAGCCCGTGTGATCAAATACTTGCTTTTCAGTCAACTTTTTTTATAAATTTTCATTTGAAGTATTGTTTCTCTACATTTTGAAAACTGACTTTGTTCCTGTCATCCTTTGATCAGTATTAACAAAGTGATAGGTGTTAGTACAATACATTTGATCGCTTTTACCTAACTAATACCTTTTTTCAAAGTAACTAAAAAACTATAAGTCAGAAGTAATGGCTCTAAAAGAAAATATAATTCTTATAGAACAAACATTACGCAGTTTCTTTCGTCTCCGGAAAATGTTTAGTTTTTGTTCTTACATGATTTCGCAGTGTGGTTATCAAACATATTTGAAGAATTTAGTATTTTTTGTCTTTTCTCTTCATTTTTTGTATATAACTAATTTTGATAATGTATTTTTGTATTAAATGTGTTAGGCCTTTTGGACAGAAATAATCTGTATTTTTTTGTACACTGCTCTGTTCTTAAGTTACAGTCATAGGTAATGAATTTATTTTTCTATTGTATTCTAAAAAAATAAAATAACATGATATTCCTTTATAATAGAACAGCAAACAATAAAATGCTTAGCGAACTCGAAGGTTCTATGCCGACAGCACCACCAATTCTTTCGTTAATAAGTCTAACAATTTTACAAGCACATTCAATGGTAGAAAATTTATTTATTTTTCTTTGATTTAAATACCGTTAAAGCGATTTTATTAAGAATAAAATTCATCAATTTGAACATGCCAAGAGTGCTAAAGATCCAGAGAATAAGAAAATGAGAGTTCGTTTAGCCTATAATAAAAAATTATGGTTTCCAAAAAAACGAAGATGTCTCCAGGTGCCATCTTTATCTGCTACATAATGTTTCACCTTTATCTACAGGTGGTCGTGGCGAAAGATTTGTTAGCACCCATTACCTGTGCGTGACGAGGTACCGTTTATAGGCAAAGCGAATCAACACGATTGTCGACACCTTAATACGAAAAAAAACATTCAACATTTTTATAAATCACCTGTGGTGCTTTATAGTTAATTTAAAGATTAGATCAGTTTTTATATGATTAAAACTTTTAAAAATTCCTGTCTTTAAAAAATCAGTTAAGCATAATTTATCTTCTATATATTAAAAGAATCTTCTGAAAAAAACCCATTAAACTGGATTTATAAGTAACTGGGGGTTCAAGTAAAACCAAAGGCTAGAATCACTATACATTAAGATCGTATGACAATAATCGACATCGATATATCTGTCTGTCATTTCATGGCGAAATTAAAAGAAAAACCGTTAAAATGAAGCTTTGCAGTATAAGACTTCAAGGGAAGCCTTGGGCCGACGAGGAAAAAAAAATTGAGGCTGGAGAAATTTAAGAGGATGGTTTGGTTATTACAACAAAAGCAAATAGAACATGCTTTGCAGCTAGCGTTGCCCAAAATCGGTCTTGGTTCTGCACTTTGCAATACCAAGAACAAGTCCAGGACTGGTAAAAAAAAATGGAATTTTAAAATAAACATTAATGCAAAATAGTTAGTAATACTTGACAATCTTAGTTACTATATGTTAATAATTAGTAGTACCAATATACTTTTGCATTTTACTCCTCTAATTTTTAATTCAAGCTAAGTTAGGTTTCTCCTATCTAAAAAATTACAGTAATATCTCTATAGTAATAAGCTAATAAGTAACTGCAAGACTGTTGCGAGACTTTCGCAAGACCAAGACCATGACCAAGACTGAGTTTGCAAGACCAAGGATCGTCTCCGTCTCGCATTTTTGCAACACTATTCGCAGTCATCTAAGTAATACTCATATTTACCTTATAGCACATTTGAATTTAAAAGCGATTTATATTATCTGCACTCAGAATACAGGGGAACCAGAAGACCATTAGCAGCCTTAAATAATCTTTAATGGTCTTAAAGTAGATAGTAGAGATATCGATGTTGATACATAGATTGGGTATCTGGATATATAAAAAAGGTATCGTTTGTGCTATGGTCAAAGAACGTGCAATCTCTTTATTTTTAACTATATTATGGAGAATAGATAATACAAATTTCTTTTTCGGCTTCGGATATGTAACGCTCATTCTGGTGAAGTCGGCTCCCATCGACTAATTGAAGTGTCTTTACATTTGGATTAAACATTCTCAGAAATTAAAAATCGGACCGGTATACTGTAAGGAAGGAAAATGTTCAACATTTCATCCTCTTTGTAATGAGCTATTATTTAAAATTGTATCTTAACGCAACGCCGTATTAGAGAGGCAAAAAAGGAAAACGACAATGTAAAAAAACAAATGATAACGAGTTTTGTTAAAAAAATGGATTAGAATATCTCAGAAACTATAAATTGAACCTGCATACTCTAAGCAAAGGAAATTTTCAGCATTTTATCCACTTTGTGATGACCTATTCAAAATTACATATCAAAACTAGCCCGTTTTAGAGCAGCAAACCGGAAAAAATATGGTGTCGAAAACCAAATGATAACGAGTTTTATTGAACATTTGGATTAAAATATCTCAAAATTTAAATCAAAAGGAGAACTCCGAAACCTATTTTGCGGAAGTCAATATAATTTTTTTTAATTAGCCATAAAATAGAAATAAATTATGTATTTCTATTCTACTTTATATTGTACTCGATAGAGTTTTGACAAATTAATGAGTCCTGTTACTAAAGTAACATTTAAAAAACTTTGTTTTTGGATATTTAGATAATATATTTCAACAGAAAGTATAAATCACTTATTTTAGTTATCATAAACCTATTGCATCATTTTTAGAATATGATATAAATGACGATCATTCATAGCAAAGTTCAGCAGAATAATTTATACACAATTAAAATTGTATATACTGTAAATATCTTACTTAGTGAGTATAGAAAGGTTAATATTTCATATTATTGATCTTACCTTGTTGATGTTTTCACTTCTATAGTGTGATCTAAAGCATAGTAGTTTTTTTATAACTTTCTACGCTATGTCTGAAATGATTTCAGCCCGTCATAGATATTAAGCTCCAGCAATCTCAATCCTAATAGTTCTTGATAATGCAGATGCTTTATATAACTGGTGGATCTGTGATAGAATGGTAAGAGAATATAATCTATTCTCATAGATATGCTCAATATAGAACTATTCTCTATTGTCGACGTTAAACCTTTATATATATCTTAAATATTTCAAAGCACTGCGAAATCTTTAAATTAAAATGACATTTTTACATTATTAACCTAAAGTTGAATTATATTTATGCAAGATTAATAATATGTTGTTGTTGTTGTTTCAGGTGATGGTATTCATGGGTGGTGGGGGGGATACGGGGGGATAGTTCGAGAATGCTGCCCCGCGGAGAATGAAGAAGCAAAACGTCCGCACTCTATCGCTGATCGTTTGCACATTCACCTACTTACTCGTCGGGGCAGCCGTTTTCGACGCTCTGGAATCAGGGACTGAGCGAAAGCGTTGGGAAGCTCTCGAAGGTAAGTCATTAATTCCCATCATTAATGATTTAGAAATAATAAATTATCGTTCTTATCTAGGAGAGGTTTTATAATTGGATCGAAACGTTTGGTATAAAATTCACCAACTTACGAGGAAAGCTTGAGTTGTGTATTTTTCTTTTTATACACATCATATATGCCTAGATTAATGACCTACATTCCACTATAATAAGATATTAAACTCCTAAGGGTTGCTTAGTTCAAACAGCACACTATGTCATATTTGTTCTTCTTCTCATCATATCATCCTCTTCAACTGCTCAACAATGTAAGGTATCTTCTTGTAAAACTGAATCCACAAATCCTGAATCTGTACAAACTACCACCTCCTGCTCCACCAATCCATATCTTTTCTTTCATCCGCCTTCTAGACCCTCTGAAATCTTGGCCTCAGTCATCCGTCCTATGAGAAAAATGATTAAACTCCATCAGTCGATTTTCGTTTATCACCTTCTTCGCTGGTCTTATCCTAGGTTTTTCATATTTTAGAGTTTTTTATTCATCCTCTCCTTCCGCCTTCATAGGATTAACATCCTCATAGCCTGAGTTTGAATTTTTATTTATAGTTGAGAGTTCTACTGATGATCTCTTCCTAGCACGTATAGCTAGTAACCTAGCTCCATGCGACAATTTCTTTTTCTTTTCTTGATTTTTTTTTGTTACTGGGAACCATAAATGATATATATTGTAAATTTTTCTTTTAATTGCGTAATAATACTAAGATCCTAACACTTTACATTATAGATTCTTTAACTTACACTACCACTTCATTCGTTCACACCAACTCAAGCCGAACTACAAATTTAACAATGACCTAAAAGTAAAGCCCCTGGTTATGAATTAATTACAGCCGAAGCCCTCCAACATATGTGTAGGAAAGCTCTAGTATTTCTCATAACAATTTACAACTGTACATTGAGGACATGAAAATTTCCATTACGAAGAAAACTCACTAATTAAAATGATTCACAAGCCAGACAAAAACATTTAAAATCCTTCATCTTGCGGACCGATTCGCCTTCATCTTATATGTTCCAAAAAGATTTGAAAAATTCATATTCAAAAGAATAGCTGACTTATTGACTAACAGATAATACCTGACCATCAGTTCGGCTTTCGTACATTCCATTCAGCAACACCTCAATTACACAGAGTTATAGACTGCATAGCAGGAGTTTTATAACAAAAACTATATGTAACTGGTGTATTTTTAGATGTCGCTCAAGCGTTTGACAAAGCTCGGCACCAGGTTCTTTTCTTAAAACTCAAGTCCGTACTACCGTTAACATATTTTCTGATTTCTCAATCTTTCTGTTTCGACTGAATTTTCTCAATCCCGGCAGGACGCTTCAATCTTGGCAGGAGTACCTCAAGGTTCAGTACTGGCTCTGCTACTATTTACTGTATGTAAGGAAACTAAACGTCCCAAAACAACATTTATTTGTCTTCTTCTTCTTCTTTTCAAAGGCAATGAGAGATTGACTGCTACTTACCATACAACAATTCTCGAAAAACACTATAAAACACTATATGTGAGTAGGGCGTTCAATCCAACGACACATCCTCCAGCAAGCCTGGAGAATTATTGTTGGTCAGCGACTAACAATCATCAGAATAAGAAGTCTCCTAAGAAGTTGTAAGAAGTCTCCTTCCTAAGTGTAGTTATGATCACCAGCAAATATGAAAAGCTGGAAGAGTTCTACATTTGAAAATTGCTTATTTGATTGTTCTAGATAATGAACAAAATCAGACACCAACATCATTCCCAATATAGTATATATGCTGGTACATATTCAACATGCATGTGCACTTAATAGGTATGGTTTCACTCGTAGAATGGATGGAACTAAAAACTCTAATTTTACGCTTGCTCGGTATTAATGAAATTGTCATTTTCCATTAGTCTGACTAGCCTAATTTAGGATGAATATAAGAATGTGAGTTACAAATTTATAAATTGCGTTAGAAAATGGCTTATACATACGTAAAATTTATTTACGTATACACCTTCAAAACTTGTTGGAAAAGCTCCGGAATATGGCCCCTTACTTGAAAGGAAATCGAGACCACAACGAATTGGTTGAACTACAAAAAACAAAACCAAATGGAAAACAACACCTTATTTTTTACAAAAGCAAGTTTACATCAAATAAAGTCTAGTCAAGGAAAAACGCACTTCTATGAGTAATAAGTGGATGGGATTTGGTATAATTTATACTTGACCATCTAACTTTCAACCCCTCCACACTGTCATTGTATTGTCAACAGTCACACTGTTACATATATTTCATATAATTTTTAGTGTTGAGGGGTTGAAAATGTGCACTTTAATGTTAAATATGTGCCTACATGTATGTATGTATACTATATTGGGAATGGTATAAGTGCCTGATTTTTTTTACATTATCTTACATTAATAGTCAAATACAATTTTCAAATGTAGAAATCTTCCAAATTTTTATATTTGCTGATGATCATAACTCCTCTTAGACAGAAGGCTTCTTACAACCCATTTATCCTCAAACGAAAACTTATAGACCTTGAAATATAGCCAATCGTATAACTTTTCAATTTATCTATCTATTTTCTATTTAAAATCTATTTATTGAATAATAATACAATCAGCCACTGCTGGAGGGCTATAAGTATTAGGGCTAAGAGTTCTCATTCATACAATATATACATATGAGAGAGAAATAAATATAAATATAAAAATTAAATAAATAATACTGATGAATAAAATAAATAAAAGAAAAAAAAAGTAAACAAATAACATAAAATAGAAACTTCCAAACACAATCATACCTATATACAATATATACATTCGCCCAGGAATCTCCCAGCCAGGCTTTTTCCCCCAAAGCAAGACTCCAGGAGATCCCAGTGCCATTTTTCCAGCCGCATCACTAGTATTAGAAAATCGTATAACTAGTATCGTAAAGTCAATGAAAATCCCGAAGAAGCTATATTGGCCTCATTTGGCAGACTTTATTGTTCATTAATATAACAATAAGTGAAGGATGTTTATTTTTTCTACATCCTTATTTTTAAGTATACACGATTTTTTGCTCAGTAGTAATTTTTACACTAAAGACTGAAAAGATAAATCAAAATTTATAGTTATTTTGAGTGTATGATTCAACAATAAACAGCATCTATGGTATCTAATGTTAATTTAGCTCTGAAGGCAAACAACTAATTGATTTTAAACGTCAGTTTCAGAAAAAGTTCTAATTTAGTTTACACAATTTATTTATAAAATATTTATTATTTGTAAAAGCATACAATTTTTAATAATAATATATAATTATAATGTAAACATGATGAAGATGGAAGAAATAGGCAACAAGCCAGGGCTGTTCTCCTCCAGGCTGCCTTGGCATAAACCCTATCGATCAACCCTTTAAATTACAGAATCCCCATCTACCGGGCCAGCGTACCATTCTTTTTCAAAACTGGTATGTATATTTATCCCAACGATTATCCTTATGTTTTCATTGTTCTTTTAATATTTTTGGTTCAGGAAATGAGTATACCTTTATAAAAGATAATTAATATAAACCAAGATGTACAGAGAAAATAAAGAAACTTTATTGCTTAAGGTTTTTCATAATTATTCCATCATAATAAAAAAAATCTTGTGCGCGCAATACACAACTTATACTTACCGCTCAACTTTGAATTGAAATTATTTTCTGGCCATGTTGGACTATTATACAGTTTTTGAATTACATTTTTAACTTAGCGAATTATAAAAAACTACAGCTAACAAATCATAAAAACTATTAAAATAACAAAAGTCCTATTTATTATGTCATCGGTTGATTATGGATTGTATGATCCGTCGATTATGGATTGTACGACTATTAGTAATTAAACTGTAATTTTCCATTGCAAAGTTTACTAAAATGGAATTAACAGATTGGCATTGTCTATCATAGACAGGTCAAAAGTTGTCACACTAATTGGAAGTAAATACTGTTGGAATATCACAAAAGGAAATTTCATCGAACTATTTATTAATTTAATTTTCTAAAAGGTAACTTGATGAATTTTTGTAATAGACGGATGACAGATACCCAAATATTTGAATATAATATTAGATCTGGAGTTATTAAACAACAGTGAATATATTTAAGGTTATAAACGTATCTATGAAATGATGCACCGAGTTTAATCAAAATCGCTAGAGCCTTTTTTGAGAAAATTATGAAAATGTGTTTCAGCATAAATATGATGTAATATAATGTGGCGATTTTACGGTAAAAGTTGCTGTCACGTCAAAGGCATATACCTATTTCAAATACGTAATATCAGTTTCGTACGACTTTTCGTTTTTGAGATAGACTGCTAACATACAAACACACAGACACAGACTATTTTTCGGGACTTGGTTATTTGAAATCAGGGGACCTCAAAACATTTCCGTTGAAACTTTTTCACGATCGCAATACTAACCCTTACTATATATTGCATACATAGGTAAATGAAATTAATAAAAGATAGCCAATCTTTTTTTCACAATCCAGCTTAAATTCAACTTCTATATACAGTTTTCTATTTTTCAAAAAGTTTTTTTATTTATTATTTTTCCATTCTGTAGTTTATTTATTTATTGGATTTTACTAATTATTGACAGTTGCCCACAGTACGTTGAGATTCAGCAAACAAGCTGACAATGCATGATTTAGTGACTTGTCTGGCATGAGAAAGTGCAGTACCCAGCAGCATCTCTCTCCTCGGTTTGAGTCAATAACTTTGGTTGCTTAGGGAAGGACTTATTTGTTCATTGTCAAATTCATGACAGTTTGGGATTTCGATTTGACGAGAGAGAAGAAAAAGGAAGGAGATCTCTCATCCCGTGCCTTTTCAGTTTTTTTCTTATATTTAGGGATATGTCAGCTGTAACCAAGTCTTTGATCAAACTATTGGCGGGTCCCTTAACCTTTTAAGGGTCTTCCATTTCATTTTAATATTTGGGTCCCAGGTAATCCTTTTGTCGAAGTTAAGAAGTTTTATTATTAATCTAAAACACATTTACCATCAAAATTTTTATGCAAATAAAAGATTCGGATAATATTCTTAGATAAAAAAAGAGTTTGGTCAAAATTTTAAACCAACTTCTATTTCGCAAAAGATACCATAAAAGTTTCATTTGCCGAGGATTCATAAGATAATCTCTATACATAAGATAAGGCTTTACAGCCTTTTAGCATTTTGCTCTTTAATTGTTAGGAGTTCAGTCCTCCAGTCCTCTAATGTAACGTCTTTTATAATATTTATGTCAATTTATACTCACTCCCTTTTTGCCAAACAGGCAGCCTGAAAAAAATTAATAAAAAATCAAATAAAACTAAATTATATAGTTATTTAGTATTATTATTTTTCTGTTTAATTAATTTTAATTATATGAAATAAAAATAAAGCCAGTTTACTTCGAGAAGCCGTATCGTTTTCTACCCAAAACTCCCTTTTTTTTTAGTTTATATTTCAATCTAACCGTGACGTTTATATAAACAACAAAAAAATATTATATTAAGGCAAAACTACTCACTGTTCGGCTCTAAATTGTTAGAGACTATACTACAAATACTATTATCGCCGACTGGACCAAATCGCATTATGATCCGCGGGAGTCCCGGTCCCTTAAAAGGGTTGCAGTCACCATTCATT